CCTTAAATGGAAATTAAAGACTTTTTATTGTTAATAGAGATTATAATAATAAGAAATAAGTCTTACATAATTTTGATCTAAATTGTTCTTGATCATATGATATTGAGGATAGAATATGATTAATTTGGATAGATCAACATGTGTGTAGTGGTCTTTATCAAATAAAGATTAATAAATCTCATATTTTTTAAATTATACATATAAATGATGTATATAGAGATATGACTATTGTTAATAAGAAATTCTTTTGAACAAATATATATATATATATATATATATATATATATATATATATATAAAATTTCCGTAGACTTAAGACTATCATGATAATCAACAAGTTATTTATTATACTTTGATATTGGACACCTAAAAACACTTTGTGTGTCAGTTGAATGATTATCAAATATGGTTAAATTCTTGTGGAATTAATGATTAATCAAGAGAGAATCCACAAACTCTTGGTAATGGGTTTGGTATTTATAGAAATAAAAACCTTGTTGAGGGTATTATGAATGAAAGAACAAAGGAGTTTCTTAAGTCATTCATCATGTGTTAACTTATTAGAATTTGATAATTATTCCATATTTTAGAGTTAACATATAACTAGAAAGATATTAATCTTCTAATAGTTCTAATGTAAAAGATACTTAATATTATTCAATTATTAAAGAGTGTTGTTACACATCAACCTTGATTAGTAATAAACCTACGGGATCACATACTAATATTTGTTGGATATCATTGATTAAATTAAATAATGTAATTTTATCTAATTAATATATTTTCTTTAATTGTAATATTATTGTATTTTTTGCTAGCATAAAAAATACAATTAATATAAAGTTTGAGCATTTGTAAAATTAATTGAGACTTAGTAAAAAATATTTCCAACTACTAGTAATTAATTAATCAAAATTTTAAATATAATTTAATATAATTTGATTCGGTACTAGAAATAAAAAAAAAAAAAAAAAACTTGAGAGAGGGAATTCCTATATGAGAGCAACTAAACATGTTAAGGTGGGAATTAATTCCTATTAGATAGGATAAAGAAATCAACGTCAATATCAAATAAATATATATATATATATATATATATATATATATATATATATATATATATATATATATATATGTGTGTGTTAATGCGAGGTTAAATTATAAGTATATAAATTATAAGTATATGAATTATATTTTTTAAGTCTCTTTTTAGATTCTTTTATTAAATTATTCATTGGTTACATTTTTTTATTCGGTATGTCAAGTATTGACATAATAAGATCGATCTCGTTATGGATACATGCATAAGACCTTCATACATTAGAAACAAATAAGTTTGACATTATCAGAGCCTCTTAAAGTATTTGAAATGTATTTTTTCAACTTGTTAGATCTATTATTCTTGTTGTGCATGTTAGAAACACAAAATTGAACATTTAAATATAAGAAGGTCTTACGCATATATCTATTAAGACCGATCTTGTTGTGTTAAGACTTGACGTGTGAAACAACCAAAATTTGTAACTAATGAATAATCTAATAAAAGATTTTATGGAGAGAGATGTGAAGATATATATATATATATATATATATATATATATATATATATATATATATATATATATATATATATGCATGTTGGTTTTTTTATCCTATCTAATAGGAGCCACTTTTCACCTTAACATGTTTAGTTCATATTTTATAGGTTTATAGGAATTCCCTCTCAAGTTTGTTTCACCTTTTTTTTCCAATTTCCAATAAAAAATCAAATTATATTAAATCATATTTAAAAATTTGATTAATAGTTAAAAATATTTTTTACTAAGTCTCAATCAATTTTACAATGGTCAAACTTTATATTAACTGTATTTTTCCTGTTAGTAAAAAAATACAATAATATTTCACTTAAAAAAAATATTAATTAAATAAATTAAACTTTTTAATTTGATCAATAATATTTTTTTCGTCTAACAAACATCAAGAACACTTGTTAATGTGTGTGATTGTGTAGATTCTTTACTGAAACAGGTAGTAAATTAACTTATTAATTTACTAATCATATTCGCGTCTAGCAATACTCCTTAACCATAAGATATCATGAAATATCTTTTACTTTATAACCACTAGAGAATTAATAAATATTTTCTTGATTAACATTAATCCCACAAAAATTTAATCATGTCTAATAATCATTCAACTAAGAATTTAATCATGTTTAAGAATCATTCAACTAACATTGTTAAGGGTCCATATCAAAGTATAATAAATAACTTGTTAATTACCATGATAATCTCAAGTCTAAAGAAATGATATATATATATATATATATATATATATATATATATATATATATATATATATATATATATATATATATATATATTTCTTCAAAATAATTTTCTAATGACAATTCAAAGATGCTATTAACCTTTAAGTAATACTCTTTTGAGTGAGTTCAATGATCATGTCTCTATATGCACCATTTAGCACCATTTATATGTAACTTTAAAAGAATGATATCTATTGATCTTTATATGATAAAGACCATTACACGTATTGATTTATCGGGATTAATTATGTCTTATCCTTAATAATCCTATGATGAAGAGCATATACAAATTATAAAAGACTTATTTCTCATTATTTTCATCTTTATTATAATAAAGAGTCTTTAATTTTAAATTAAGAACCTTATCATATAAATTAAATAAATATGGCAATGAAATAAATAAAAATAAACATACTTTTATTATTACTAGTATTGCAGATTTTATCTAGGACATATCTCGAATAAAAATAAAACTTGCATATAAACTTGCACAAAAATAAAATTAGATGAAAAAACTTCCACACCACCAAAAATCAAGTTGAGTATGAAACGTTCATAGTAGAATTACGATTAGCAAAAGAGATGAGGTAGAACAAGTAAGATGTACGAGTGACTCGCAATTAACAGTCGGGTAAGCATTCGACATGTACCAAGTGAAGGATCCACAACTACTCAAGTATTACCACTTGGTAGCAAAGTTGGTAGCAGAGTTTGAGGAAGTGAAGATTGAACACATCAACCGAAGAGAAAATGCGAAAGCCGACATGTTATCCAAACTCGTTAGCTACAAACTCAAAGGATGACTCAAATTTTTCATCCAACAGACATTAGTCCAACCCTTAGTTGTCTAGGCATAGTGTAATAAAGTCGGTCAGGAGCCTTGTTGGACTACCTCTTTCAGAGAATATATCACTAATGAGACAAAACCCAATAGTTTGGATGAGGCTCGAGCTTTTTGAAAGAAAGCAACTAAGTTCGTTTTGATAAGGGGAAATTGTTCAAAAGGGGGTTGACAATGTCGTTATTAAAGTGCATCTTGAATGAACGAGTCTAGTACGTCATGGAGGAGCTACATAAAGGAATTTGCGAACTGCACTCAAGAGGGAGAGCAATGGCCACCAAATTCTATAAGCCGACAATGATTGGTCGACACTTAGAGTCGATTTCCAGAAGTATGTACGACGATGCCATGAGTGTCAAATACATGGACCATTAGTACACACACACCTCGAACAACTATGCTTGATTATGGCTCCCTGGTCGTTCAGTGTATGAGACATGGACATAATCAGCCTCTTTCCCCTGACACGAGGATAATGTAAATTTCTCCTGGTAGTCTCAAATACATTAATTACTTCACCAAATGGATAGAAGTCGAACCCCTGTCCAAAATCACAACCCAACAAATACAACGATTCGTATGAAAAACATAGTATGCAGATACGAGATTCCCAACTCTATCATCACAGACAATGGAAAGCAGTTTGTAGACAAATGCCTTGCCGATTTCTATTCAAGTCTCTGTATAACCCATTGAGTAAGTTTTGTTGAACACCTTTAAACTAAGGGACAGACAGATGCCGCCAACAAAGTAAACCTACAAGAGCTAAAAAAGAGGCCTGTGGCAACAAAAGGAAGATGGATTGAGGAACTCTTGGAATTCTTGTGGGTGTATCGTTGTACTCCCCAATCCATCACCAAAGAAACCCCATATAACCTCACTTATGGCACGAGCTCTATGATTCCAATAGAGATTGGGGAAAGATCATTACTCTAAGAATTGTTTGACCAACAAGAAAATGAGCAAAGAAAGGAGATATCGAGCAACGATCTAGGAAGCTCTCGCTTGTAAGTAACAGATAACATGAAGGTACAACTTGAAGGTCCAACCGAGATGTTTTCGCCATGGTGACCTAGTAGTACTAGCAAGGGGATGTGCCAAAAGAAATTCAATAGCGGGAAAGTTCTCGTCCAATTGGGAAGGTGCCTACATGATAACACAAACATTAGGCAATGATACATATCAATTGGAGGAACTAGCCCGCAAAGAAATACCACGAACATAACACACTTCGTTGCTTAAATTCTAATATAGTTAAATTTATGTACATCATACCAACATGTAATTTTTCCTACCATCAACATTTTTTCTCGGCAAGCATTTTGGTTAAAGAGGTTTTAACGAGACATGATCATTTAAGAAAATTGTACTATTCCACTCATTACTAACGTCTCTCGAACTAAGACGCTTCACTTTCGAGTGAAGCCTCCTGAGTACACCTTGGTTATAGATGCTTTGTCCGCCCATGGGACAATCCCTCTCGAAAAACAAACTTCATTAAATAAATCAACTGGAAATAAGAATAATCACAAGTCAAAAGATGTACAAAATGTCATTATAAAAAGCACCGAAAAACAATCTGATAGGTATCTTTCTTAAAAAAAAAAACACCAGAAAACACCCCGGCAAGTACCCCCTTACAAAAGGTCAAAAAATAGGTCAGTCAATTAACAAGATTACACTAAACGCCATCTGAACGCCATCGATATGAACGAGAGCCTCATTGTGAATGTTGTAATCAACATTAAACTTAGCATCGCCCAAACGCACGTCTTCCCCGACAAAATAGTGCATCTGGTGAATGACTTTATTGAATCCTTCTATATGCTCTTAGACTACATAGTCCCAGATCTCAGCCAACTTTCTTTTCGCTGCCTCTTTAGCGGCCATAATCGCTTCCTGCAAAGAAGAGATCTCATACACTTTCCCTGCAGCAGCCTCACCCTCCTCCTCGACTCGTGTCAGCCACTCTCGTAGCGCATCACCTTCCACCTTCAACGTCGAGATCTGGGAACCTAATGCAAGCATTCAAGATGGAGTTAGTCTCCAGAGCCTCCTTAAGTGAGCTCGAGGTCTCGACAAGCTTGCCTTTCACACGAGCTAGATTTGAGCACTTATCGCTCTTAATCATGTATTCCCCTAACCTCTTGCCAAAAACAAAGGCTTGATTTTGAAGCTCAATGAAGGTGTGTCGAGGAGACACAACAAAATTTATTAGTTCGAAAGTGTATGAGATTAAGAAGCGGACGAGTAGTAAGAATGAGTCAAAATCCACCAAATAATCATAGTAACAGTGAGATCCTAAACAGTTCACATCCACCAAACATCGGGGGGCAAGTTCACAATGGGAATATGCCTGTAATATCGACGACCGTAAGTACATCGATGCCCGTAAGCACTGAACAAAGCCCAGGCACTTTAGCAAACACTCAGTTAGGATCTAGTACTGTAATGTCAAACAATATGCAAACTACGGAAAACCCCGTAACAACATATGCAGGTCCGCATATGAGTGTAAGACCACCTGGTTTTTCGTTTAATAATATGAATGGGGCCGGTACTTCTTCAATACAACGAAGTACGAGATTTAACTTAGGAATGCCCCAAAACTTAGGTATGCCTCAAAATTTTGGAGTACCCCCGAATTTAGAGGTATCTCAAAACTTGGTAACACCTCAGAATTCAGGGAGTGCACAGACTTTAGGGACACAACAGACGCCTCCAGTATCTAATCTAGATCATAGAGTAAATATGGATCATGGGTGATATGCATTCGATAGAGATTATCACCGATCCAATTTCGAGACTATCGAAAACGCTAGTACTGGAATTTCCAATAATTCATTAGGAGTGCTTCGGCAACAAATGGATGAAAGCAATTTCAAGATGGTTAACGTGCTATCACAACAATTGACTACAGTACTAAGCCCATTAGTTCAAAACACTACCACTAGTTTCGAGATATTAGCAGACCAAATGACACGTATCGGGGATGCATTGGTCATACCTCGACAAACGAGGGTCGAAAGTAATGCCAATCAGAACAGTAACCAAAACGCTAATATCAATCCCCTTTATTTATTAAGGAGAAATTGAAACAATGATCAACATCAGCATGTGGAGAATGAAGCATGTGAGGAATGATACTTACAGAAATGTGAATGAGGGATTCCAAAACGTGTATAATCAAAATAACATGCAGTACAATCACATGCTGGGACAAAGGATGAATCCCCAAGGAGTGGAATTAAGACCACCTAATCAATTGTACTTTGTTTCTCCCTTTCCAAATACGATCCTCGAGACAGAATTACCCCGAGGATACAAAATACCCAAATTCACCAAATTTGCTGGAGAAATTGGTGAGTCCACTATCGAGCATGTAGCGCGATATCAAATCGAATGTGATGACCTAGCAATGAGTGAAGAACTAAAAATGAAATATTTTCCTAGTTCATTAACAAAGAATGCTTTTTCTTGGTTTACTTCGCTGCCACCTAATTCGATATATAATTGGTTGCAACTGGAAAGAAATTTTCATGAGCAATTCTTTAGGGGAGAGACTCAAGTAAGTCTTATCGATTTAATGAACATAAAGAGATATAATCAAGAAAGTGTAGATGATTATTTGAATAGATTTAGACAAATGAAGTCAAGATGTTTTACTCAAATTCCCGAATTTGAATTAGTCAGAATGACCTCTGCAGGCTTAGAATTCTCGATTAGGAAAAAGTTAGTTAATTTATTGTTGAACGACATGGCTCAGCTAGCCGATAAAGTGAGAAGAATAGAACAAATCGAATATGAAAAACAAAGGTACAAGAAATTTGAGAAACCTATGAAGAAAGAAAGGGTAGCATATATAAATGACATATATGAGCAAAATCCCGGGATAGAAGTATATATTAAAGAATATGTCGATGAGAAAGTAAATATAGCAGAGCTTAAAGTAGGAGCCCCGTATGTCTGTAAATTGTTACAAAAAAATGAAGTAAAAGACAAAATGGCAAATCGCACATATACTTTTGATGTAACAAAGGCAGATAAAATTTTTGATATTTTATTGAAAGATAAACAGATTAAGTTGAGTGATGATCACAAATTACCTTCTGCAGAACAAAGAAATGGTCGAAAATATTGCAAATTTTATAATATTTATGGACATTGGACTAATAATTGTATACATTTCAGGAACACGATCCAAGATGCGATCGACCAAGGAAGATTGAAGTTTGAGGAAATGTCAATGAAAGTGGATACGAGTCCATTTGAAGTTCAAGTAGGGTACGTCGAATCCCAAACGGGCATGACTGAGGATGTTCGATTGGTAAAGGCGACCTTCATAGGTATGGTCAATGTTACTGAAGATATCGATTTCAGACATGTCAGAATGGACACATCAGAAGAAGACATAGAGTTCGACCTAAGCGAGTTCGAGAAAGAATTCGAGAGAGAGATTTATCATCGATCAGAAGATTCCCTCATTGAATTTTTAAACAGAAAAAAAGAGAAGGACGAAGGTGTGACATTATGTCCACGATGCAGTGCGGTGTTCGACAGATCAGCTGCTAAAGCCTTCAAGGCAAGACAGATCAAGAAAGTAGAGGATCAACATAAGAATTGCAATGATAAAGTATATCAAACAGTCCAAACCACGATTGGGGAGAGTCAGCAGAAATCTGTTGGTTCTGAAGCTAGTAGAAACCAGAAACAATGGGTTAGGAAAGAAATGTATTCTCCCCGAGAAGGAAGGGGCAGACTTCAAAATAATGATGTTTTCGACAGACTTTCATACGATGAGGGATCAAATAGTAGATTCCCTACATTCCAAAGGAGATTTCGAGGGAGGCCTTGGAGGAGAGGAGGAAGGATCCCTTACTGGGGAAGGATCAATAATTATAGGAACTTTGAAGAAAGTAATATACCGACGGAGGGTCAATATGTAAGAGACTTTATCGATGACAAAAACGAAGGTAGTTGGAATGAACATCAAATTGGAGTAATATCTATATTACCCGCGGAATACGTTAGCGAGTATGAGGAGTATCAAGGGCAAAATAACGTCGATCGAGAGGATGATTTCTATTCTGAAGACATGAGACCGAAAGTGACATGGGTAACACAAGCATCATGCGAAGTACCCCATAGAGACGCTGCTTTTATCGATCCCCCATCCGAGGAGATGAGGTTTCATTTGAAACCCTTATTACTGAATATCGAAATTCAAGGACAGAAGGTGAATAAGGTCCTAGTTGATGGTGGTGCAGCAGTAAACATATTGTCAATCACTATGCTGAAGAGGTTTGGTATCGAATTGAAAGACTTAGTCAGACACAATATCATAATTTCGGATTTTAGTGGGAAATTATCGAGCTCAGAAGGCATGATTGCTTTAGACGTGAAAGTGGGTACTTATTCGAGGCCCACTCTGTTTATAGTTGTCCAATCACATGCCAATCTTAATGCGTCGCTTCGCAGGGAGTGGATTCATGGAGTTGGAGTCGTGTCTTCTACGGCTCATCAGAAGTTGTTTATGTGGAATAGAGATGGACATCTCGAAATAATTCCAGGGGACCAGCATGAGTTTGTGACATTTATATCTCAGGCTGGTCGGTCACTGCAGAATTTGACGCTCACTCAACCATTCACCTTCGAGACTGTCGAAGACTTTAATTCAAAATTGCATGAGGAGCGTTTTCTGGAAATGAATGAGAGAAGAGGGTTTGTCATGATCAAAGAGGGGGCCAGCCTCGAAGTGACCGGTGAAAATGAATAAAGATTATGGGAAATTTTTGGCTCGATTAAGAAAATATGAAGATGAAAAGGAGGGCCAAGAGAGTAGTGGTACCAAGATAGGAATAAATAAGTCGATTCACTCGACAGTAGTAGCAAATAATAGTGATCAAGTCATACTTGTTTGCATTTATGATAATTCTCCTTTAGGTTTCGAAAGATCCATCACATCGAATCACAAAAAAGTCGAGGCCCAAGATCCATTAGAAGAGGTCAACTTGGGGAGTGTAGAAGACCGAAAACCTACTTATGTTAGCAGGTATCTTGGGAAAGAAATGAAAAAAAGATATGATTTCATTATTAGAAGAGTATAAAGACTGTTTCGCTTGGGATTATGAAGAAATGTCCGGTTTGGATCGAAGTCTAGTCGAAGTCTAGTCTAGTCGAACATAGATCGAAGTCTATGTTCGACTAGACTTCGATCCAAACCAGACATTTCTTCATAATCCCAAGCGAAACAGTCTTTATACTCTTCTAATAACGAAATCATATCTTTTTTCATTTCTTTCCCAAGATACCTGCTAACATAAGTAGGTTTTCGGTCTTCTACACTCCCCAAGTTGACCTCTTCAAATGGATCTTGGGCCTCGACTTTTTTGTGATTCGATGTGATGGATATTTCGAAACCTAAAGGAGAATTATCATAAATGCAATCAAGTATGACTTGATCACTATTATTTGCTACTACTGTCAAGTGAATCGACTTATTTATTCCTATCTTAGTACCACTACTCTCTTGGCCCTCCTTTTCATCTTCATATTTTCTTAATCGAGCAAAAAATTCCCCATAATCTTTATTCATTTTCACCGGCCACTTCGAAGCTGACCCCCTCTTTGATCATGACAAACCCTCTTTTCTCATGCATTTCCAGAAAACGCTCCTCATGCAATTTTGAATTAAAGTCTTCGACAGTCTCGAAGGTGAATGGTTGAGTGAGCGTCAAATTCTGCAGTGACCGACCAGCCTGAGATATAAATGTCACAAACTCATGCTGGTCCCCTGGAATTATTTCGAGATGTCCATCTCTATTCCACATAAACAACTTCTGATGAGTCGTAGAAGGCACGACTCCAACTCCATGAATTCACTCTCTGCCAAGCAACGCATTAAAATTGGCATGTGATTGGACAACTATAAACACAGTGGGCCTCGAATAAGTACTCACTTTCACGTCTAAAGCAATCATGCCTTCTAAGCTCGATGATTTCCCACTAAAATCCGAAATCATGATATTGTGTCTGACTAAGTCTTTCAATTCGATACCAAACCTCTTCAGCATAGTGATTGGCAATATGTTTACTGCTGCACCGCCATCAACTAGGACCTTATTCACCTTT